TTGCAAGTGTGATGTGCCCTTCTGGTTGCACTGTCCGTAAGTTTAGACCTCGAAAGACTGGCCACAGAAAGAATATGGTTGCAGAGAATTTATTTGACGGAGTTTCAGACGAAAATACAAGTTGATGTGACAGACCTACAAAAATTCAAGATGGCGCCGTTGGGGACCTTGTTTATTATTAGGTATGTGTATATTTTTTAATTAAAAGAAAAATAAGTAACGTCAGGTGCCTGTGGCATTACCGATTTTATTGTATTTTTGATAAAATAAAAAGTTGGTATTGCGGAGACCAATCCGGGAAAAAAAATTCCGACCTCATTTGTTTCGTAGTTTAGTATTCAAATATCACTTCCGGTAGCCATTTACAATGAGATTTTGGCTACTTCGTTTGAAAATACATTCGAGGACATTACCTACAATGTTTACACGCTATTAAGCAATGGATAAAGCAGAAATTTTGACCAGAAATGGAAAGTATATCTGTGATTAAAAAAATTATCTTTATGTTTAAGAAAATTCGGAAATTAAAATTAAAAAAAATACCTCCCTCATCTACTTTATTGCCAATAAAATGAAAAATAAAATGCCGCCCTCCCGCATCTGTTTTGGAGAAAATTGGCCTGAGAACCAGGGAATTAACCCTTTGTGTGCTGACTTGTTTTACGTGCGCTGTAACCTCAGGACTGAGTTGTTTTGTAATATCAACAAAATTATCACAATGGTGTACTAAAATGCAAATATTTAAAATTGTTGACACCCAATTGGCTTGAAATTTGGCAAATATATAGCAAATGTTATGTTTTTTAATCTATACTATTTTTTTTTAAAATCTAATATTTTATGTTGCCATGGTAACCAAATTTTCAAAAAATTTATTTTAAAATGACTTCTTAGCATTTTAACTATATTTTTCAGAGAAAATATTGCACTTTGATGAAAAAAAAAATCAATCTCTTTAAAAATTCAATTTTAGTTTAATATTATGCAAAAAAAAAAAAATTAATTTAAACAATAACTCAATGATAAAGTCAATGTTATATATACCGTTATATTGTGAAAAGTCATTGTATACTTATCTGAGTAAGGGATATATTCATGTAGGTTTAAGTGAATTCTGATTCAAGTTAATGGATTTTTTTCAGATTTTAACTAAAAAGAGTATAAATTGAAGATTCAATTAGCCTGTAAATATAAAACCAGTGATTATTTTAAGAAATATAGGCAATCATATAAGAAAGTATGATCCTCAAAGAATATGCAGTTTTCGAGGTTGGGAAATCTTGGAGCAAATTGGCACAACAATGAACTAATTGCTGTTACTAGTATTCATTTTCAAATTAAAGCAGTCAATATGTTAAATAAATTAAAAAAAAAAAATAAAATAACATTTACACTAAGATATAGAGGTCTTATTTTCTAATGACTGGTATCTAACAGCCCTAAATATACTCTAGTAATTCTCAAATCTTTTTTTTTTTAATTTAAAATTTGCTTTTATTGAAGAAAATGCATTTCTCCGTGTTATTTGTAAAGTTTACATATTCGTCAACTTTCCTCCCACAGTACTTCTCACTCTGTAAGAAATATGTGGCATTTATTTTAGAAGTTTTATTCCTGGCTGGCAACAATAATTGCCAGCAGGAAAACTAGTACTTTAAATTTTAGAAATTTAAGCACCTTTAACAGTCATTTATAATGTTTTCAAAAATGACTTCGTTCAATGTGAACACTGGTGAATAACAGTTTTGATTTTTTTCAATTGATTTTAGTTAATGATGGTTGACAGATATGTACCATAATATCAATCAATATATTATGAAATACTTTTAAGTTTATGCAAGTCTAATGGTATGGGTCATGGATATAGGCCAAGTAAGCTCAGTCAGTAGAGCATCTGACCGGTGATGCAGGGGCCCCTTCTTAGATTCACGGTCCAGCCATGCATTTTCTCCTTCCTTGTTACATATTTGATGCTATTGACCCCTCTGGATTTGCAAGTGAAAGTCCTGTCAGGGGCTAATAAGAATTTGGGTTGTGTCTGCAAGGATAAAGATAACTTTAAGGAGGGATATGTAATGGTTGTGCTATGGGTATCAACCTGGGTAGCTCATTCGGTAGAGCACCTGACTAGTGAAGCAGGGTTCCTGAGTTTAATTCCTGGTCCAACCGTAGTTACCATACATTTTCTCCTTTCCTATTACACAAGTTTTAAATGTGCCTGAATTTTTACTTCAACAAAAAATATTATTCCTAATACTGTATACAGGGAAATTTTTGCTCCTGTTTTATTTTTTTCCCCTTTCACCCTCTCCTTGATTGGGCAAAATTCAAATTACACCTCATAATTTCCTAAACAGAACTATGACTGGGTGAATTTAAAACAGGGCAAAATTGTTCACAAGTTCAAAAGGGCGAAAATAACACGGGGCGAAAATAACCCTGTATACAGTAATGAAATTTATATTTTATTTCCACTATGGGATTTCTTTGTATTCTTAGTAACTATTCATATTATAAACATATCTTTGGAGACCAAAATGTAATCTTTGTTGATAAGTAATTGTACAGGAATTTGCATTTTTGAAAAAAAAAAAATTTCACCATCATTGAAAAAAAATTCTCACAGCAAATCATAGCCTTTTTTCTGTATTCATTTACTGTTACATATCTAGAAGGGATGGAATGTAGAAGCTTCTTGGGCCTTATAAATTTGTAAACTAGAGGACATATTACATATTAGTAGGTGAAAACTTGTACAGTGTGTACTTTTGAGTTTGAGAAGTACAATTCCTACAGTAAAACTCAGTTATAACGAAGTCACTGGGACCTATGAAATTACTTCACAATATCTGTAATTCGTTATAACTGTATAAGAAATCAATTAAATTTATTTAGTTGGGTATCCAAATTGACTTCGCTATATCTGTAAATTCGCAATATTCGTGTTCGTACTAAAGGAGTTTTGCTGTATTACCCAGTCTTTATTGTAATTTATTGAACAGATGTACATGCAAGTCCATACAATTTACAAATTACTCATTCTAAAGACTCTGATCTCCTTCTTATGCCTACAAAAATGACAATTCATCTTAATTTTAAACTGTAGAGTTACCATTTATTTAACCAGTGAATTTTTTAATTTTGTGTGTGCATGTATAGGTTGGGGCAGTCTCACTGTTTTTGGTTTTTAATAAAAATAAAAATAAAAAGTGGAGGAAATGTGCAATTTAATCCACATGCTTTTTTTCTGGCAAAAGTCTATTTTAAAGAAAAAGAAAATTTCTTAAACTTGGTTTTAAAAAAATTCTGATATATGTAATACCAATTATTTTCACTTACTAATTAGGTCCCATGCAAACTAGAGTATGTAAATGTCTTGAAGAAATCTAACTCTAAGATACCAAAGATCCCAGATCATATTTTGGTTTTGAAATTATTGAGAGTCTATATTATAATCCTCATCAAGGAAATAAAAATGGTATTTTATCACTTACTGAAATAAAACAAATACCACAGTTTACATAAATGACAGTCATTTCAGGGAAAATCAGCACTTCAAAATTTTTTCATCACTTTTTACCATTTTCATGTATATGCACATGATCAAATGCATCAATGCATCTTTTCTGATAACTAGCTTACATTTGAAGACACTATATAGAAAAAATCAAGTTTATTTTTAACTGTGCTAAAAATTTTACAATTTATCATATACTGTTATAAAAAAATATTTGAAAGTTTTCCCAAATAGATGGAACATCAAGCAGCTTTAAACCAGAATTTTTAGGTGTAATTAGGGCCACTTAATTGACTCCATGATTGTCAATTATAAAATTCATATTGTGTATATTTCGAATACGTGTATCATGAATTAATTTTGCTTGATCACAAAAATATGTTGATGGATATATATTCTCTATATATCTCTTTTTCACTCACTTATTAATGCAATAACTCATTGGAAAATTTTCTACAATGTTCAAGGTCCTCCACATTTATTACTTTTATTAGATGGAACCTTTTTTTTTTATCTTTCAACATTTTTGAAATGGGTCTTTAGATTTAAAAAAAAATTGTTTACTTATTTATTTGTTTATTTATTGTTAAAAAAAAAACAAATGCTTTTTATTAACAAGATGCTTCAAATTATTTTTTGTTAACCTTTATTTCAAAGCAAAGCTTGATTTACATATGTAAACAACGTGCACAGAAAAACGTCTGTGACTTGCCAGGTTCAATCTCGCGCATTATTGTTTTCATTTAGACGGTGTAATGTATGTCTACTTACAAAACACCAAATAAACAAATAATAACTACCGTATGTCCAAAATATAAAACTTTGCCGACCATGTAAGCTCTCGATATGCTTCAGACTGAAGTTCAGTAGCATGTGCATCCTACTTTCGTTTTAACAGGAAGAACTTCGCAAGGTTAAGGTCAAGTCAAGTTAACCAGAGTTTTTCTGCTAAAATATCGAAAATTTCTAAGTAATTTTAAGTCTACTAACACAAATTTATTAGAATTCTTGATTATTAACTATTTTTTGGATTTATTTCTTTATTTTCCTTTATATTTGAGCAAGTCAGTAGATATTTATTACATGCGCGTTTTTCCCCTGTTTCCAAATATAGCGGACTGACTTTCATCGTAACAAACGCCAAACACCTTCACTTTAAATCACAATTTCACAAACAATTCACATATTTTCACATCTTAATTACCATTTTTCAATGTGTTGTAGTTGTATAATACAGTTTGATAGATTTTGAATAATTCACAGCTCATTTATACGTTTTATACGACATTTTATGTGACGAAGCGCTAATTTCAGACTCAGACCCAACATATTGGGTTCCCGCACGCAAGCGTCTGTGACGTCAGACCCAATATATTGGGTTCCCGCACACAAAGGGTTAAATTTAGATAGCCTAAAGTGTACCAAAAATTCCAATTTTTCCAGGTTTTAACAACTGCATAGAGAGAACAAAACGCTGGCCTACCTGGAATCTTCAGAAGCTGCCTGACCTTCTTCAGATCGTTTTTAATACAAGCTGCTTGTAGAGGAGTTTCTCCTACAACAAAGATACAACTAAAATGAACAACTATACCAAATATACTTCTAACAGCACATCTTGTCATGATTTCTAGCAACATTTCTTACTTTAACTTACTTTAAACTATAAAAGTGAATTAATCTCTATTATGATTTTCTAAATACATGGACTTCCAGACAATACAATACAAAATCTCAATGGTCATAAGCTGACTTATTTTCTGTCCTTGACCTTTAATGTTCTTCTTGTTGACATTTTTCCCAGCTGACGTTGTACTGGTTCCCTCACCCAATCCTTCGTTCTCCTTGTCTCTCCCCTTCAGCAGCGATCTCCTCGTTCTCGTGTTACTCTCCTGCTGTGACCTATATGTTTTAAACATTCCTCTTTTACAATGTACTTGTTTAGATATATCAAATCGGATCATATTGTTGAAGGCCTAAGTTATATATTAACCTGTGACAAAGTAGGAAAATAATTTGTCTGTAAATGTCTTAATGCTTGTTTGGAAACAATACACTGGCCATCATGTAAAACAATCAGTACAGAGAGCAAGAGCCATGTTATACATAAAATAGCCCTGTACTTATATCAGTTACTTAACTATCACCCTATTTCCCATTTCATATATCAAAATAAAGTAGACACTTGGTGCTTTAATTTTCTATAAAATTTTGTTTTTGAGAATTCACAAATTGGAAAACAGGTTTGAGAAATTACAATGTTCTTGAAATTTGCAGAAAACATGCGTATTTGACTACCTTCAGCAAACAATTAAAATATGAGCATAGACCACAATCCAAAAAATAAAACATGTTTTATGATCTTCAGAAACAGAGCTTTCATTATGTATTTGCATATTTTGGATCAGAGGTTGTGCTCTATACGAAATATTGAAAAAACGCTTCAATTTTAGGTGATTTTCAAAGGAATTTACAGGATATGAGAAAAATGACGCATTTTATGACGTCATAATGCACTGACTTGATGGGAAATTACGTCACGATTAATAGATACATGGTCACCAACACTCCAAGTGATAATTACTGCATTTGCAACCTAGACCGAGCGGTTTTGATTTTTCAGAAATTCTCAGGACCAAACTAGAAAACAGACCAGTCAGCAAGGGCCCCGCCATGGGGGAGAATTAATAGGGTGCAGCTTACGGAATAAATAAACAAGAGGCCCAAGGGCCTTGAATCGCTCTTCTGATAAATTGTACAACCTATCACTTGTATTTGAAGCCTCTAACCCTAAGTATCCTATTAAAGACCCAAGTTGCATCACCTGACAAAGTTTTATGATTCTTAGCCAATTAGAACTACTTTTTGGTCTACATTCTTGGAAATCACAAAATGCATCAAGTGACAAAGTTTGATTATTCTAAGCCAATAAATACCTAAGATACATAAATATACCCATAAAATGTCGAAAATAGGTCATTGTGACCTACATTTTAGTCGACATTTTTCAGAGTCCCAAGATGCATCTGCTAACTAAGTTTGATAATTCTAAGCCAATAAATACCTGAGATATTCAAAAGTAGGTCACTGTTTACCTACTCTTTGGTCAACATTCTCAGAAAACCCAAGATGCATCAACTGACAAAGTTTGATGATTCTAAGCCAATAAGTACCAGAGATACTTAAATATAGCCATCAAATGTCGAAAGTAGGTCATCGTGACCTAATTTTGGTTGACATTTTTTAGAGTCCCAAGATGCATCTGCTGACCAAGTTTGATAATTCTAAGCCAATAAATACCTGAGATATTCAAAAGTAGGTCACCATGACCTACTTTTAGGTCGACATTCTCCGAAAATCCAAGATGCATCAACTGACAAAGTATGATGATTCTAAATCGATGTACTAGAGATACATAGATATAGCCATAAAATGTCAAAAAGTAGGTCACCGTGACCTACTTTTTGGTCGACATTCTCCGAAAACCCAAGATGCATTTACTGACAAAGTTTGATGATTCTAAGCCAATAAGTACCGTAGAATACTTAAATATAGCCATAAAATGTCGAAAGTAGGTCATCGTGACCTACATTTTAGTTGACATTTTTTAGAGTCCCAAGATGCATCTGACGACCAAGTTTGATAATTCTAAGCCAATAAATACCTGAGATATTCAAAAGTAGGTCACCATGACCTAATTTTTGGTCATTATTCTCCGAAAACCAAAGATGCATCAACTGACAAAGTATGATGATTCTAAACCAATAAGTACTAGAGATACTTAAATATAGCCATAAAATGTCAAAAAACAGGTCACCGTGACCTACTTTTTGGTTGACATTCTCCGAAAACCCAAGATGCATCAACTGACAAAGTTTGATGATTCTAAGCCAATAAGTACCGGAGATACTTAAATATAGCCATAAAATGTCAAAAGTAGGTCACTGTGACCTAATTTTTGGTTGTCACTATTCGAAAACCCAAGATGCATCAACTCACAAAGTTTGATGATTCTAAGCCAATAAATACCTAAGATACTTAAATATAGCCATAAAATGTCGAAAGTAGGTCACTATGACCTACATTTTGGTCGACATTTTTCAGAGTCCCAAGATGCATCTCCTGACCAAGTTTGATGATCATAGGTTTGAAGGTAATCAAAATATGCCTTTTAAACAATTTGAAAACAAATGCCTGCAAAATTCTAAAAGTAGGTCACAATGACCTACTTTTTCTTAAATACGTTTTAAGGTCCCATGATGCAGCAACTTACAAGATTTGATGTTTCTAACCCTTTCAGTGCCTGAAATAATGGGATTAAATGTTTTGAAAAGGATAAGTCATGAAGTTCAAAAAGTAGGTCACGGTGACCTACTTTTAAGTTGACGTTGTTCAAGGACCCAAGATGCATCAACTGACTAAGTTTGATGATCATAGGCCTTAAAGTATCCAAAATATGCCTTTAAATCAATTTGAAAACAAATGCCCGCAAAATTTAAAAAGTAGGTCACCGTGACCTACTTTTGAGTTAACATGATGTGAAGTCCTAAGATGCATCAACTTACAAGATTTGATGATCCTAGTCCTTATAGAAAGCGAAATATGAACATTTTTATTAATTGTAAATTTAGGTCAACTTTAAAGTGACCTTGAGACCACGCCCTTTGTCCCAGGGTCATGCCTTGAACAATTTTCAATCTTCAACATATCCTGATCCTTGTATGTAAGTTTGGTGAAAATCTGCCTGGTGGTTCTGGAGAAGAAGATTTTTTAGCAACGAGTACTTTTTGTTTTGTTTTCCTGATTATCTCCCCTTGATTCAGGGTCCCAACCCTTATTTTAGTATAAATGGTAGCCCTTGGGCCAAGGATACCCTGTGACAAATTTGACACTGATTGGCCAAGGGGTTCTTGAGTTATGGCCCATATTCTAAAAAGTTAACGCACACCGCACACCGCACGACGCACACCGCACAAATGGCCATAGCATTAGCTCTTTGAGCCTTTGGCTCAGAAGAGCTAAAAATGTACGAAGAATAAGCAACAGCAACAGCAACTGTATTCTTAAAATTTCAAGATAATTCCTGAATATTCAAAAACCTGAAAATAATATCCTTGTACTTACATTAGACAGTAAAGAACAACTTAATGTATATTTAAACAATTATGAAGAATTTGTGTTATATAAAATGCCAGCCTTCAATGAATGCAAATATCATGAAGGCTTGACCTTAACTTCAAACAAACAGCAGTTGCAGACAAAGGTTTTCATTAATCTTAAAGTGACAGAATAAAGAAAAGCCTACTAAATTTTCTGCAGCTGGCTAGATAATTAATCCCAAGGGATTAATTGTACCTCTCTCATCATTTTCTTCTAATGTACAATAAGAACTTTTTCAGTATTAATGATAGAATGGGGTTTTTATACAACTATTCTAAAAATTAATAATATGCTTGAATTAACATAAAGTGAAAAAAGTAAATCAAAAAATGGTTAAAAAAATCTTCTTTAATCTATTTCTTGTTATTAGAATTCAATGAAATCATAACTATTTAACAAATATAAATTATAAAAAATTATAATATTTAAATCCACATTTCAGAGTGTTCATAGCATTCCAAATAGACTTAACATCAAAACAAACTTCATTTGCAGACAGAGGTGGTATTTCATCTCAATTTGACAGATAAAGATAATGCTCTGGATTTCTTCAGGAGGAAAGCTAATTAATCCCAAGGGACTCATAGCAGCATTCAGTTTTACAATAGGAACATCTTCAGCAGTTATCTCTCTTTGCCAATGCTTTTGTATATAAAGTTAAGGAATCTACCCCACCACCCCAGCTCCAAACCAGGGGACATAGAGAACCAAACTTAGCATCAAAATATGTATTTCTGCCTACTGAACCATACATGTTAACCTATTGTGATGAAAAATAGGGAGATTCAGACCACGAAAGCGGTAGCATTGCGCGCGTTGTTTTACGCTTGGATTTATGAAGATATATTGCATGTAATATACATTTATGGTTTTAAATGAAAATACAATTATTAATCTTAAATATATATTGCAAAGAAATAGACATAAACACGTTAAGTTTGACATAAATTATACATATTCAAATATTTTTTTAATATGTTCATCATTTTGCTATGATTGGCTTCTTAACTTAGCCTTTTGAAGAATTGTCTTTGCTTAGATAGCCAAGAAGCAGTAATTCTGAATATTCATTCAGTTGTCAAACACAACAAATGATGACAAAGTTTAATCTAGATCAAAAACTAGTCCCTATCTTTCGTTAAATAAATCGGATTTTCCGCGATGATCGAAAACGAAAGTAGAGATGTGTCTCATGGCTTGGTCAATCGAGTGATTTTTATTGACTTTATTGATTAAATTGCGAGCTCCTGTGGTTTAATAGACGATGTCAAAGGTTTTCATCCAATTCTAAAATGCTGTATTTCCTTTTTCATGGCAGTAATGTCGACGAAATTTATCGTAACCAATGTAATCACTAATTTTGTGCTGTTGTCGTTGTCAAATACGTGCTTGAAATCTATGTACACATCGGTACAAATAAAGCGTTTGTATGATTCCGGGTCAAATCACGCGATATCTAACGAGATTTCATGACGAGTGGCTTCAAAAATGGATACCCAAGCGAACCAAAATTACTTAAGACGAAATTTTTGTAGAAAAGCGGTAGATTTACACATAAAATCGGTAGGCGGGAGATGGAGTAAAAAAGCGGTAGACTCCCGCCTAAATCGGTAGAGTTAACATGTATGACTGAACTATCATACCAAATTTGTACTTGATAGGGCAGCCATAAAAAAAGTTGCCCATTCATTCTTATGCATAGTTAAGGAATCTACCCAACCACCCCAGCTCCAAACCAGAAGACATAGAGAACCAAACTTAGCATCAAAATATGTATTTCTGCCTACTGAACTACCATACCAAATTTGAACTTGATTGGGCAACCATAAAAAAAAGTTATTAGAAAAAAACAGAAAATTTGTGGACGGAAGAGTGATAGACGGACAGACAGACAGACAGACAGACAGACGGACGGACAGAGTGATTACTATAGGGCACCCGCAAATCCTTGCGGGGCCCTAATAATGCCCAAAGTGGCTTTGGCTCTTGAACAGGATTCATGTATGTAAATAATAAACAGACCTGGATACACTCCTCTTTTTATGTGAACTCTGTCTTAGATTACTTTGATTGCTGTTAAGTTTTGGTAACAGAAAGAAGTACTTTGTGACCTGAAATTCAGAAAAAAATTGTTACATAACATGAACTACAAACATTCACTTTATCTTTTTTTTTAACAAAAGTAAGACACAAAATTACATCTAGAAACAGCTTACAATTTCCTTCAGACTTATGCCCTCCGCTGGAAGATCTTGCAGCAGAAGATAATCGTCTAGATTTTTGAGAAGTAAGCAGCAGAAATGAACAGCAATCCAAGAAGGACTCAGGTTCCTAAGAATTGTTCTTAATAACTCTATCCTGAGAGTGCCTATATGTTCAAACGGAAATATAATTTTTATAATAATCAAATAAAAGTATTCATAGTCAAACCATATTATCAAAGAAGCAATTGATCAAATCATCCAAACCAAAGATAATTTGTAACAAGAGGTCCCTGGGCCACAACGCTCACCTGAGCACTGTGGCTAGGAAAAAGCAGAAATTGGTTTATTATTGAAAAGTTCAAATCCAAAAGTAGTCCCATGACCAATCATGGCTTTGCTATTCTTGAGAAGAAGATTTTTAAAGAATTCTCCTACATATTTCTATGTAAAACTTTGGCTGGCCATTTTGGTCAAGCCCTACCCCTGGGGGTCATGATTTGAACAAACTTGAATCTACACTACCTGAGGATGCTTCCATATAAATATGATCAATTATGGCTTTGTTATTCTTGAGAAGAGGATTTTTAAAGAAATTTTCCTATATATTTCTATGTAAAACTTTGGTCGGCCATTGTGGCCCGCCCTACCCCCCTGGGGGTCATGATTTGAACAAACTTGAATCTACACTATCTGAGGATGCTTCCATATAAATATGATCAATCATGGCTTTGTTATTCTTGAGAAGAAGATTTTTAAAGAATTTTCCTATATATTTCTATGTAAAACTTTGGTTGGCCATTGTGGCCCCGCCCTACCCCCCGGGGTCATGATTTGAACAAACTTGAATCTACACTATCTGAGGATGCTTCCATATAAATATGATCAATTATGGCTTTGTTATTCTTGAGACCAAGATTTTTAAAGAATTTTCCTATATATTTCTATGTAAAACTTTGGTTGGCCATTGTGGCCCTGCCCTACCCCCCGGAGTCATGATATAAACAAACTTGAATCTACACTATCTGAGGATGCTTCCATATAAATATGATCAATTATGGCTTTGTTATTCTTGAGACCAAGATTTTTAAAGAATTTTCCTATATATTTCTATGTAAAACTTTGGTCGGCCATTGTGGCCCCGCCCTACCCCCGAGGGTTCATGATTTGAACAAACTTGAATCTACACTACCTGAGGATGCTTCCATATAAATATGATCAATGGCTTTGTTATTCTTGAGAAAAAAATTTTTAAAGAATTTTCCTATATATTTCTATGTAAAACTTTGGTCGGCCATTGTGGCACCGCCCTATCCTGGGGGTCATGATTTGAACAAACTTGAATCTACACTACCTGAGGATGTTTCCCCATAAGTTTCATCTTTCCTGGCACAGTGGTTCTTTAGAAGAAGATTTTTAAAACATACCAGCAAATTTTCATTAATTCCCAATTATGATTTGTGGCCCTTCATTTAAACAAACTTGAATCCCCTTCACCCAAGGATGCTATGTGGCAAGTTTAGTGTAAATTGACCCATCGGTTCTTGACAAGAAGTCGAAAATGTGAAAAGTTTACAGACAGACAGCTAGCCAGACAAAATGTGATCAGAAAAGCTCACTTGAGCCTTTGGCTCAGGTGTGCTAAAAATTCTATTCTCAAAAAAATTTGTTTGGATACTGATTATTAATGTTCAGATTATTGAACCTCAACTGTTTATTAAATACTGTACATATGGACCCTAATATAGCCTTGTATTAAGCAAAGATATTGAACTTCACCCTCTGATAATTTCATAAGAATGACCTTACTTGGAACTTGGCGTACCGCTTCGTGCAGTAAGGAGGCTGCTGTATGGCTGGGTACGATTGGCTCCTGTAAGTTTAACCTCTGACCTGTCTCTACGTACTGTGCAATAAGTACTGCCATACAAATCAGGCTGGTGCTCAGCTTTATCAGGTCTCTCTGTAATTATATTACATAACTATAATGTGAACCAAAGTCACAAATCTTTCTCAAAAAATGATTGTCGAATATACAAACACCAACTCAGGGTATTTTTAAGGACAAGACCTAAATTCAAAAAAGTATCAATGTGTGATTTCAAAATTATCTGAAATGTTAGTTTATTAAGTCATAAAATAATGTATTCATCATGTGATTATTAAGTCACAAAACAATTTATTCATCATGTAGTTGACTAACTGGAAAGAATGTTTTAAGAAATATTAAAATCAAGATGGTAGCCTTACCTTCATTGAGTCATCCATATCTTCAGTGACACAGAATCCAAACAGTTTAACCAAGTCCTTACACGTGGCACTGACAGACAACAGTGTGCTGCCAGGCCATAAAATCTGAGCGTACATACATCCCCTCAGTTTACGGATATTTATCTCCTCTTTCTCAATTCTGCAAACAAATAGTCCACATACATATTCATATTCAAAGCTACATCATGTATGTTATCTAGTCAAAATATAGAGATTTTTCATAAAATAGTTGATATTAATTTAATGTAGCCATGTCATGTTAAATTGTACAGCTGCATAATATCGATACTCCCATTTATTGCGATTTATTGACAAAGTTTGTCGAGTTGTAATTTATTTTTGCTGTACCGATATTCCAGCAAAATGCTTGGACTTGGGATTTCAAGAGTTAAATATGAAATTTAAGACAAGAGAAACATCAATATTGTAAACTGTAAGGTCACATTTCATAGCAAAACTGCAGTGAAATCAACAAGATTAGTTACTTGGAAATGAGGCCCTCCCAAAACTTAACCTCACTCATCTGAAAAATGTAGGTCAGATCCAGCTCTGAAAGCAATCCTGGTAGTGTGCTTCTTTTAATGTACATGTATCATTCATGCCAGTTTGGTCAAAAAGGGCTTATATTTCATTGGAAATGAGACCTGCTCCAAACAAGAGGCCCACGGGCCTTATAGGTCACCTGAGTATCATGCGACAACTTTCCAACAATTGAATTTGATTCATGTTTTAAACTAGAGGCCATGAAATTCACGATTTTGAAAGAGGCACCATTGCTTATCATAATTATGCACTCACCATGCTTATTTTGGTTACTTAATACCCAGAGGTAGATCAGAGTAACACAGAGAAAATGCATTTCCACTTTTAGTGAATTTCAGGGGCCCTGGGTTAGAGCTACTTGTGTTAGGGTTGGTCGACAGTTTAGCTCCCCATCCCACAGGAACCATTGACCCCGGGGCCATATCTTTCAAAATTTTAGAAATTTTTTAAAATTTGATGTCACACTGCTGTTGATTAATACCAAAGTGCAGATTTCAAAGGATTAAATTATTTCAGATTATGTAACCCCCCCACCACCCTCAAAGTACCTCTGTTCCAGGGGCCAGGAAATTAACGGTTTTTGGAAGAAGCAGGTTTTTTGTCATAAATATATACTAAGATCATTTGGCATTATACCCAACAACAAAGGAAAAGATTTTCAAAGGATTCATGCATTTTCACTATATAATTATTAGAGCCCCACCCTAACACAAGAAGCCCTTACCCAGGGACCCTGAAATTCACAATTTTGGAAGAGGTAGCCTTATTCAACATGACTTTGTACTTGGCTACTTTATTTAATACTCAGGAGCAAAGAAGAAGATTTTCAAAGAAATAATTCATTTTTTACTAAATAATCTATATAGCCCCGCCCTAACACTAGAACTCCTGACCCTGGGGCCATGAAATTCACAATTTTGGAAGAGGCAAACTTATTCAACATAGCTATGCACTTGGTTAGTTTATTTAATGCCCATGAGCAGAGAAGAAGAATTTCAAAGAATTATTGCATTTAACAATATAATCTATATAGCCCCACCCTACCACTAGAACCCCTGATCCTGGGGGGATTAAATTCACAATTTGAGAAGAGACAGTCTAATTCAACATTACTATGCACTTGGTTAGTTTATTTAATGCCCACAAACAGAAAAGAAGAATTTCAAAGAATTTATGCATTTTCACTATATAATCTATATAGCCCTGCCCTAGCACTAGAACCCCTGACCCTGGGGCCATAAATTTCACAATTTTGGAAAAGGCCGTCATTTTCAACTTACCTATGCACTTGGCTAGTTTATTTAACGTCCAAGAGCAGAAAAGAAGAATTTTAAAGAAACTAGAAAACTGACAAGTCAGCAAGGGCCCCGCCATGGGGTAGAATTAATAGGGTGCAGCTTACGGAATGATTAAAAAATGTACGAAGAATAAGCAACAGCAACTGTATTCTTAAAATTTCAAGATAATTCATGAATATTCAAAAGCCTGAAAATAATATCCTTGTATTTACATTAAGCAGTAAAGAACAACCTAACATTGAATCTATATTTAAATAATTATGAAGCTTGTATTATATAAAATGCCAGCCTTCAATGAATGCAAATATCATGAAGGCTTGACCTTATCTTCAAACAAACAGCAGTTGCAGACAAAGGTTTTCATTAATCTAAAAGTGACAGATAAAGAAAAGCCTACTAAATTTTCTGCAGCAGGCTAGATAATTAATCCCAAGGGATTAAGTGTACCTTTCTCATCATTTTCTTCTAAAGTTACAATAAGAACATTTTCAGTATTAATGATAGAATGGGGTTTTTATACTACTATCCTAAAAATTAATAATATTATTGAATTAACATTAAGTGAAAAAAGTAAATAAAAATATCTTCTTTAATCTATTTCTTGTCATTAGAGTGCAATGAAATCATAACTATTAAACAAACATAAATTATAAAAATTTATATTTAAATCCACATTTCAGAGTGTTCATAGCATTCCAAATTGACTTAACTTCAAAACAAACTTCATTTGCAGACAGAGGTGGTAATTCATCTCAATTTGACAGATAAAGATAATGCTCTGGATTTTCTTCTGGAGGAAAGCTAATTAATCCCAAGGGACTCATAGCAGCATTCATTTTTCAATGGAAACATCTTCAGTAGTTATCCATCTTTGCCAATGCTATCGTATATAAAGTTAAGGAATCTACGCCAACACCCCAGCTCCAAACCAGGGGACATAGAGAACCAAACTTAGCATCAAAATATGTATTTCTGCCTACTGAACTACCATACCAAATTTGTACTTGATTGGGCAACCATAAAAAAAGTTGCCCATTCATTCTTATGCATAGTTAAGGAATCTACCCCACTACCCCAGCTCTAAACCAGAAGACATAGAGAACCAAACTTAACATCAAAATATGTATTTCTGCCTACTGAACTACCATACCAAATTTGAACTTGATTGGGCAACCATAAAAAAAGTTATTAGAAAAAAACTGAAAATTTGTGGACGGAAGAGTGACAGATGGACAGACAGACAGACAGACAGACAGACGGACAGACAGAGTGATTACTATAGGGCACCCGCAAATCCTTGCGGGGCCCTAATAATGCATTTTCACTATATAACCTGTTTAGACCCGCCCTAGCACTAGAACCCCTGACCCTGGGGCCATGAATTTCACAATTTTGGTAGAGGACTCAATGCTGATTACAATCATACAAACAGTTTGACTGCTTGATGTCCAGGAGTAAAGAAGAAGATTTTTAAAGATTGCACTGATTTTAGTGGTTTTTGCCCTACCCCCAGGCCCCAGGGGGGCAGGGACCATGAACTTCATAATTTTTGTTCCCCTTCACCCATAGATGCTATATGCCAAATTTGGTTGAAATTGGTTGTGGTTTCAGAGAGGAAGTTAAAAATGTTCAAATGTTAACGCACGACGAACGACGAACGACGACGGACAAAAACAGATAGCAATAGGTCACCTGAGTTTACTCAGGTGACCTAAAAAATCAATCTCGTCATACTTTGCTGAAATTGCAACATCTGAAACCTTGACAGGTACAATGAAACATACTAGAAGCATCCTTCACGGATCTCTAATTATGTAAAGCATAGAAGTACTTGAAAAGAAAACTGCTCCAAAAACTTTTAACCTGAGTGCCAACACTGACTGTATCACATACACTCCCCACCCCTAACTTCATTAAGGTGAGCTAAAATCAGGGTAAAGATTCACACCAGTCCAAATAATGCTGGAGGTTGACTTCTAGGGATGCTACAATAAACCTCAGTAGAAATATATATACCTGTCCAAATAATGCTGGAGATTGACTTCCAGGGCCGCTACAATAAACCTCAGTAGCAGAACATGGCCTTTTGGAAAAGTTGTACTATCTGTGTCAGCCAGTCTCCGGAGAAAAGAGCTGTGAACAGAGGAATGGTTTTTAAAACCAACTGATTCATCTCTTACCACTTATTCTATCAAAACATGACACTAAAATGTATAAATTTGCACTTAAATTGTTAAATATCAATGAATCAGGAAATATTGATCAATAATAGAATACTGTATACAGGGTTATTTTCGCCCCGTGTTATTTTCGCCCTTTCACATTTGGAAACAAGTTTGCCCCGTTTTAAATTCGCCCAGAAAGATTTTTGTAAAAGATACTATACTATTTAATTTGAATTCGCCCCGTTTTAAATTCGCCCACTTCCAACGAGGGCGAAAGGGGCGAAAATAAAACGGGGGCGAAAATTTCCCTGTATACAGTATTGACATTTCATCAAACAGGAGATGACAGGTGCCATTACCTGAACACTGTGCCCTGGGTCTGTGTGGTATCCTGAGTATCTGTGTATGCTGCCCGGTAAAGCTCGGTGGTCGTGGGGGTGGTGGGTGGGTGTAGAGAGAGGATTTTCATCAGGACGTTGTAACAGCGATACTGGATCAACTCAGTTTGGGGGCTCTAATAAAAAAAAATAATATGTAAAGTATGAGGGTTGTCCCAAAATTTCGTAGACTGAGCTCATATTTTTGAAAGAAATTAACGTATCTTTATAAAATTTTCGGGTGGATAAAGCGTGTTTTTGGCAGATAAATTACGAAGTTTTATCATGTTTTCCTGAAAACTTTTCGAGTAATAACATTTAAAGTGATATAGTTCTCTAACACCCGGAGCAATCTGCAACGTCAAAAAATACAAATGTCAACGGTTCAGATTTTTTGAGGAAATATTTCAATTACCAGTATCTCAGTCTTGAATTAAACGAAACCGTTATAGTTATAAATGTAACATATCTTAATTACTATGATATGATGAAACATTAAAATATGTAAACAAAGTATATGCATGTACAGGTATGAAATAATAATAATTTGAAAACGCTATATTTCTACGGGCTCTTCCTCTGTTTTCTCTAATGGATTTGCACAATGGAACTCTTGCCCATTTCTTAGCCCTGTCTTTTATTTCAGTCACTGTTATTCACATAAACATAGAGAAACCGTTTTAGTCATTTTGAATACTAAGGACGAGAAAAAAGTTTCCTTGTCTACCAAACATCTATGACTGGTACATTTCTGTAAAAGTGAAATCAGGATCAAAACACTTGATCATAGTCCAGTGCGCCGCCTGGGCCAACGCAGCCACCATTTTTCTAAAATTCAGATTTCATCTCCATGTATACAAAACGTTATAAAATTCATATTTATCAAAGAATAAACACCAAAATTTGAGGAAGTATAGTTAATAAAACAATATTAAGAATTTCCATTAAGAAAAAATATGGTTAGTAATTACTTTTCCGTAGTGTTTTAAATATAATATACCAGATTTTAATTGCAACATTTGGGTATTGCGCCACCTACCTACACCAGAAAATGAAATGTGTCTTTTAATTTGGAATAATTTGTGTAGTTACTCCATATTTGTCTACAAATTTATTAGAAAGTGTTTGTTTAATCTATATACGAAGTTTCATTAATGTATGACATAGGGTTCCTACAAAACAACGCTTGTCTACGGAATTTTGGGACAACCCTCGTACATGTTCATCACAAGATTTCAGTTCCCCAAGAGCAAGCCTATTTTCAGAGGATAACATCCTACCTTTGATCCCCTGTCCTTTATCAGTCCCCTGACAATAGTTCTGATGATATTGTCTGTTGGGAACTGTCGGTCCGATATACTGGACATCACCAGGTCCAGCCCAGACAGGAAGAACTCCAGGTCATTACTCTCCTCCTCAAAACAAGCCATGATCATCCCAGCTAGGTTCTCTGAGAAAGGGGAGGCGACTTCTACCTCCTGTAAACACAAAATTAAAAACTCAACAGTTATCTCCCTTTTCTGAACTCTAATGTTTGGCTAAGTTTCTCGGTGTTTACCGTTTACAGTTCTAGTAAATTATCGTACCTGTTTGTTTTCCGCTGACAATCCTGTAAACACAGAAGAATGCCATAAATCCCCTTGATGTGCTACCTGTAGGATGAAAAGTAGCATAATAAACGATACCAACAAGGTGCCCGCACATCTTGATGGTCACCTGAGCAGCACAAGTGTTTCTATGATCAACTCATTCCCACTTAGGATCACAGTTACATGTAAATGAGTGAAATGAGTTCTAGAAAACAGACCATTCACAAAAACACTGCATGAAGTTTGTCTTCAAGACACTCAGGATAACGAAAATGTTTAAAGATAAATTCCCAAATACATTAATTTTACAATTGCATGCAGGCAGAATTAAGGTAAATGCCTCTACCTTGACCTTCTTGAGTTGATGTACAGCATTATCCAAGTCGTCCATCATCTTCCTCTTCTGACCTAAAGGAAAAAGAAATGACAAGGCTGTACCCCTACTGATTTACACTTATACCAAACATAAATGACAAGACTGTAGCTCTACTGATTTACATATATATATCACCAAACAGAAATAAGGAGACTGTACCTCTACTGATTTACACTTATACCAAACAGAAATGACAAGACTGTAGCTCTAGATTTACACTTATACCAAACAAAAATGAGGAGACTGTAGCTCTACTGATTTATACTTAAACCAGATTTAATAGTAGTAGAGACAAGACTGTAGCTCTACTATTTGGTATCAGATCCAACTGTTTCAGAAAAGGAGATGCATTTTTGTGTAGTCTAATTGTGTACCAAGTTTTATTGAAATTGATTTAAATTCCAGGAGAAGTAGCATTTTTAAATTTCTTTGTTTAGAGACAGACAAGGCATCTTATCACTGGCTCTTCTGGTCTCTGACCAGATGATAAGTACAAGTCATAGACAAATTCATTGGCTTAAACAGATTTCTACTTCGTATGGTTATCAGGTTATCACTGTCACACTACCATTGACCCTTACTTTTTCTCTGTGTTAAATCTGGTACAGATGAGGAACAGGGAGCATCTACTCTCATGGAGAAATCTGTCGGTACAAGTGGAGAGTTAGGGACTCTGTTGTTCTGTAGATCTGACCACTTCTGGGGGGTGTTACATGCTGATCCCCGGGGGGTGTTACAGGCTGACCCCTGTGGTGTGTTACTTTCTGACCCCCGTGACGCAGTATCAAGGGACCCCAGCAACTGAGAGGACGGGGTAGACAGGAGGGAGGTGGACTGGCTGAGTTGAATGTCCATCAAACTGTTGTCCAGATCCACGCTACTGAGATCTCTTTTACAAGGACTGGCGACTGGCTTTATAAGGTAATCTAGAGGGTCTGGAGGGGGATCCTGCATCCTTGTCTAAGGCATAATTGAGAACACAAAATATATACAATAGCAATACAAATCTTCCTTTTTGAAATGTCAGTTTAATAGGGTCATAATGTAATCACCTGTGACCTACCTGAGAATCAACAAAATTTATACAATACAAGTAATCACTAATAAGCATGTATAAATCACCTATGCAATATGTAATCACTAATGACCTACCTATCAATCACCAATGACCTTTAATGAAATGTCCTGTAATATGTAATCAACAATGACCTATGTAATATGTAATCACCTATGACCAACCTGTAATATGTAATCACTAATGAGCTACCTATAGGTAATCACCTGACCTAAATGTAATATGTAATCAATAATGACCTACCTGATATATATGTGTAATATGTAATCACTAATGAGCTAAATGTAATATGTAATCACCTATGACCTACCTGTAATAAGTAATCACCACTGACCTACCTGTAATAAGTAATCACCATTGACCTACCTGTAATATGTATTCATCAATGACCTACCTGTAATATGTAATCAACGTAATAAGTAATCACCAATACCTGTAATAAGTAATCACCAATGACCTACCTGTAATATGTAATCACTAAGGACCTACCTGTAATATGTAATCACTAATGACCTACCTGTAATATGTAATCACAATGGCCTACCTGTAATATGTAATCACCTATGACCTACCTGTAATATGTAATCACAATGGCCTACCTGTAATATGTAATCACCAATAAACTCTGGACGCAGACAAAGGATGCCGTATTCAATCAAATGAAGAGCATCTTGTATGTTGCGCTCTCCAACAAAAACGTAAGTTAGAATGTTAGCTACCCGGCTTCTATTCCCCACAGGCAAGGACAACTTGTAGACCTCCGCACCACCACAGGATAGCAGTCTGTCAAGTCAACAGAAAAAGTTACATAAAAAGTCTATTCAAAAACAGCTAAGTTAATATGAATACTATAAACAACTGCTTATAATTAAGAACTAAAAATTATTCATTCTACGATCTTGCAGAAGTATGTATTTTTAAACCTGGCATAGATAGAGCTTTTCCTTGACCCTCGGACAATCACTGCTGCTTTCCATCCTGAAAATGGAAATGACCTGAAAGCCTCCACATTAAATCTCCATCGACGCGCTGCATTAGCCATTTCCAGTGAGATACCAGTGGAGAAATTAACCCACTCAAAGTCTTCCTCTCTCAGCCACTCCCCTTTCTCTGCGGAGTCTATGATGTATCGAGGGTGGAGAACCCAGATCCCCATAGCACAGGCACACAGAAACTTCTCACTGCGGGAAAGTCGACCACAGACTAAATGGGTACATGCCGGCTTAAAATTCTACAACAGCAGAAATATCATACAATAAATCTGTGTATGTTCATAATGGCCTGATTCTAAAGCATGATGATTAGGATTTAAAGAGATACACATCGGTTCTGTGTTATATTAATGCAGCTAAATACCATTCATATTTTATGAATTGAACTTCAGTATATTCTAACTACTTCAAAATGCTAAGCAATTTTTATACGATCTTTGAAAAAAGACACATTATTTCAATGAAGTCCAGATTTTAAAGCAAATCTTTTATAATAAAAAATAATTTGGGAATGATGTTGGGACTTGTACTAAAATTAAGGAGTGATATAATGACTGAACTGAAGGAGAGACATAATGAGAAACCTCGGACTCCAGATACACTCCACTAAGTCTGGAAATCTTCTCCGCCAGCTCCCGTTTCTCCGATTCCTCCAGTCCAGACAGAAGAAACTGGCGACGACTGACCAAACTCTTCTGTAAACGAGTCTGTGGGCTCGCGTCAGACATCTCCTTTTAATTCGCCTAAAATTAAACATGTTTTAGAGTGATAAAATCGGGAAACTGTTACCATATAAGCCCCTTTGTCCGAAATATCTGATGTTTTCCAGGCTTTTTCACGATTTAGATATTTAACATGCCAGGAAAATGCCAGAACAGAAGCCATTATGAAAACTGGAAATTCGTAGCCTCCACCTGGAGGCAGCATTCTCGGGTTGATTTTCGATACTTGCAAATCGAAATAAATCCTTAATTCAAAACTTATCAATGGTACATTATGGCTTTAGTAGTCAACAACATCGTTTTTTATTTTTAGTTTATAAAATATGCCCCACAGTGAAAACATTTTATCAGACAGTTGAGCATTTCAAAATCTTGCAAGATCTGTATTGAATGTTGGAGTGATATTTTCTTTTTATCAATATTGGTGGGTACTAGAGGCATTGTGCTACTGATACATTGTAAGTTCAGCATTTAATTTAGTATCAAAATAAGTTCCAGTTGGAGACGGGGAAATAACCAGTATCGTAATGGCACCAGTTCTGATGTTTTCCTGGCATGTTAAATATCTAAATCGTGAAAAAGCCAGGAAAACGTCGATATTTCGCACTAATAGGCCCCTATGCATGATTTATCTAAGGAAAAAAAATCAAAAATGTCATTTATGAGTATAGGGTAAGGACATTCATAAAATCCAGTGTTTACTCTTGTATAATTCTAAGACACTGACCAATCTTTAAGTAGGCATCACAAATATCCAAAAGAATGATGTTCATCGAGTAATTTTTATCATGGTTCCATGCTAATCATTTGGATTCCACTGTGAAAGAAATCAGAATCCTACAGCTTTTCAATAGTAAGACATTCAAGTCCTGTGCATAGTGCATGTAATGTTGAGTTTAGAAAACCGTAAAAGAGTCACAGGCAAACACAACATTTTCTACTGAATATGTACTTCTACCTGTAGCGTAAGGCAGGTCCAACGTAGACTCAGATGGGACTCAGATTAGGCCTAGGCCTAGTTGAACTTGATGTTTCAGTTTCTTTTCCGCGCGCCTGTGTTTCAAGCTTGAACCTCGAGCCCGATGTAAAATCTGTTCGGACACAGATCAGGGGGGAAATCATCGTCGGTAACCCACTGGTGATATTCGTATCGATTCACCCTATTATCAAAGAATCTAAGCTTTGAGGAAGCCCGCGGACTCAAAACCTGTGGTTTGCGACAAATGAGGGAAAATGTTGTTTTTTTTTGTTTTTTTTTTGTTTTTTTTTTTTGTTTTTTTTTTGCAACAACTTAAACATTATACATTATCTATTTTTTAATTTAATTGAATTTATAATAGTTAATAGTTTTGTTAAAGTTTTGCAGGATTTTGCAATCAACTAAATTCAGTGATGCCAAACGAGACTCCCCGCCACTATTGCATGTATTGGTTATATTACCACAAGTTCTTTCCCCGTGATAAAATAACATGAATAAGGGTATTGTTCATTTACTTGTGATGTGGAGGATAATTTATATACATTGTTTATTAACATAAGACACGCGAATAACAACATTTATAGATAGAGTTATCTTTGATCAAATTAAAAAAAAAATAATAATAGAAAAAAACCCGCTTCTAACGTGCATGAAGGAACAAGGGGGGGGGGGGTGCACACACCCACCTACATAATTTTACCGATATATAGTATAATATAGAAAACATAGCTACTATAAGCTCGTGTCCCTCAATTTAACCCCCCCCCATAATTTTACAGATATACTAGTATTATAATATAGAAAACATAGCTAGTATATACTACAGAAAAAAATGTAGTATTACTATAGAGAACATAGCTACTATATTATGCTCATGTCGCTCAATTTAAATCTCCGATGACCTTTTTTCTGCTTGTTAGGGAATTTTTGGTAATTGATATTGCCCCCAATTGAAAATATTTGGCTGTGCACCCCAAACTGAAATTGCTTCCCATGGGTCTGTCTAAAATTAAAAATGTTTTTGATAGAAAGAAGATTATAGATGGACCTAGAAACAAAATACTGGATCGATTTTCAGAATTAAAGATCCTTATAGTATGTTCTTCTTCAAACCCTTCTCTCATTCTAAGCATTAGGCAATGAATCCATCTATGAATGGTTGATGCAATGTTTTGGATCCTCGGGATCAGCTGGCTAGGATAAAAATTGTCATGCTTCTTCGCTATGTACATGTACTATGGTATAAGGAAGAGTATACATAAAGGCAAATACCTGTGTAAATACCCCCCCCCCCCCCACACACACACACACACAGAGGGTTCAGGACAGGAGGTTGACCTTTGTGCAATTCTTATCGTTCATGACATCAAGATTCGGCCAAATTACTCCACATCATTTCTGCCATAACCACGTAACTTGGATCGGCAGTGAATACTGTGAAATAATTAACCGATATCGCATCTTTAAGACTTAGCTGTTTGGTCATGATTTATATATAAAACATATATACCCGGGTACCCATTTGCCTTTTAAACTAAAACATGATACACAGTTCTAGAAATAAAGATACAGACAAAAATCTACTCAAAAGCCTCTATAACCTCGAGGCCCGATCAAGTAATGCATCGTTCTTTGTACAGAATGGATGTGAAGAGTAACAATGAAATATTTAGTTTCGATGAGGATACAGTTGGATGGGGAATATTGCAGAGAATATGTAACGGCCAACATCAGTGTGATACTGGCTTAGGATGAGCAAAACTGGAACGAAGCATATAACAATATTGTTAGGACTGCCTAGAAATAATATTTTTATTTGTCAATTAAAATCTATAAAGCATGGAAAAGATAGACATAAAACTAAATTTTATCATAAAGTTAAATCTACATCTTAAAAATGATACTTGACATTTAAAGCCCAACAATATCCAATATTATAATTCACTGGGCCCGGTTACATTTAGTATGTTACCGGGCCCTGAATTATAATTGTCTTTAAAAATGTCCATCAGAAATTTGCAGAATTTAAAAACGAAATTTAAAAAAAAGCAAGCACCTTATTTCTTCACTTTAAGTCGCAGCACTGTTAAGGCTAGAAAAAGGGGGCGAGGCCTAATTTATACGGGAAAAACTTTACTGTGACGTCACACAAAAATATGACTTTTATGCATTCATCATATTACCCGAAAATGAAATAATTTGCAACTTTAATCTGTATTAGCATTATAAACAATAAGACTTACCAATGCATTAACAAAAGTCGCTAGTTAAATCCCATACAGCTAGTTTTAAACAAATCACTGATCTCGATGAACTTGTCAATCATGACGTCATTTTGGTAAAAATGACGTATTTCATGTACTGTGAGAGGCACATTTGGGAATTTTTTAACAATAAAAAATGCGTTATATTATAAAACAGAATATTATTTACAGGTTTTTAATAGGCTATTAATACCAATGTATATCCTTAGTTAAGTGCGATTATTCATCAACTATCGAGAGAATGTATCTAAATAATTCTGTCGTGTTTTAATGTTCAGGTTAGGTATATTTTACATCGAGGTGCCTCATAAAATCGCTTTTTCGCAAGGGCATACACTAAATAAATCTTGACCATTTTTTAAATATAAATAAAGGATATGTTCCTTAACTTGAAAAGTGCTGCTGCTTTCTTTAAATCGAGAGCATGACTTCATAAGTACACAAAATATTTGGTAAAAGTCAAACATATTTCGACATTAGCCTATTTACTTGAAATTATAACTATTAAAACGCGAATACTATTCAAAGCAGCAGCACTTTCCAGAAAGTACTAAGTATGCAGAAACAATTTATAGTTTGAATTTTTAATTTCAACTAGGGTATGCCCTTGCGATATTGAAATTTGTTATTGACCTACATTCCGTGTACCTACTATGCATTCATCACGTGACTGTCCATCGATGGGACCAAACTCCATACAGTACAGAGTAGGTTATACTATGCTATTTCCATAAGTATTTAAGTTCTGTGATAATAGAACAGCTGAATAAAAATAAAATCAGTTTTAAAAACAATTCCCGTTTTTGCACTTCTATTTTCCGTTGATTTCTCATAGTAAGCCTTAACAGTGCTGCGGTGCGCACACACGCAGATATTTCTTCCATTGTCAGTCGTAAGTCCTGATCATGCATAATTATGTTCCCCAAACGAAGTTGGGGAACATATTGTTTTTACTCTGTTTCTTATTATGTTCCCCAAACGAAGTTGGGGAACATATTGTTTTTACTCTGTTTCTTATTATGTTCCCCAAACGAAGTTGGGGAACATATTGTTTTTACTCTGTTTCTTATTATTATTATGTTCCCCAAACGGAGTTTGGGAACATATTGTTTTTACTCTGTTTCTTATTAAGGTCTTCCGTCTTCACGGAAGACCTTATAGTTATTCTACTGTTTCTTATTATTTTTCTTATTTTTTTTCCAAAATTTTGTGCACGCGATTTCTCAGCAACCATTCAATGGATTTCAATGAAATTATCAGAAACTATGCGCATCAATATGAACTTGATACATCTGGGAGGAAATTTGATAATTCGCTTTTGGTGCCAAGTTATGGCCAGTTTCCTGATTTTAAAATGCGATTTTGTCGCGCACTTTTATCGAAAATAGCTGAGAATATGAACTGGAGACTTATCTAAGAGCATAGGGTATGGTTATTAGATGTGCGTAAGCCCAATTTCCTTCGTCGTCGGTGCTTCCGGTCGCTACCGGAAGCGAAATTAAAAAGTGCATTTTTTCATTTTTTTTGTTTTCAAATGTTTTTCTACGATTTTAATTATCTTAAAAGTGACTCTGATGCGAATGAGAAATATGTAATTTGTTTAAGAATTGAAAAGGACAATCTCGAGATATTTGCATTTAAATATTTGAAGCGGTGTTTTCAATGGCTGAATACGTAGCGCGTTGGATTGTCACGCGGGCGACCCGGGTTCGCTCCCCCGAATATCCGATTTTTTTTTAATCACTTTTTCATCTCAATTTTTGGTGTTTTTAATTCAGAATCGGACGGAAGACCTCTCGTTGCTCGCAACGAGATCTCATCTAGTTATTATTATTATTATTATTTTTTTTCTTATTTGTTCTCCGGTACTTTTTTGTCCGCGAGTGTTCTCAGAAACTGTTCACCCAACTGAGCTAAAACCTTTTTAGGGTTAATAGGTGTGTAGTGTAGGTGTGCGGAACGAAGGTCATTTTGCGCGCATACGCATGCACGTGCGTGCGCGTGAAATGAGTGAATTGACTGATATACTTAATATAGCTATAACTTTTACATTTTTTGATGAAATGATTTGAAACTCATTATATAAGGATAGATTAGTAGTGTAGATAATGTGATACTGTCAAATTCGCACGAACTCACGCGCATGCACGTGCGCTTTGCTCTGATTGGCTGAAACAAAAATCTCAATATCTTCTCTGTTTTTTGACGAAATGCTTTGAAATTTAAAACATAGGCATGCTTTAGGATATTCTACAATATGGTATATAAGAATTTTCATCAAATCACGCGCATGCACGTGCGCTGCAATCTGATTGGCTGAAACTTTAAATGGCTATAACTCCCGTGTTTTTCAACCAAACAGCACGGGATTTAGAACGTAGACAAACATAATGGACTCCTAGAAGAAGGTATAGTCATCATGAACATACTTGCACGTGCATGAACGTGCGCTTCGCTCTGATTGGCTGAAACAAAAATCTCAATATCTTTTTTGTTTTTTGACGAAATGCTTTGAAATTTAAAACAAAGGCATGCTTTAGGATATCCTACAATATGATATATAGTAATTTTAATCAAGTCACGCGCATGCACGTGCGCTGCAATCTGATTGGCTGAAACTTTAAATGGCTATAACTCCCTTGATTTTCAACCAAACAGGATGGGATTCAGAACATAGATAGATATTATAGACTCCTACAGCAGGGAATGGTCATCATGCACATGCATGCACGTGCGTGCACGTGAAATGAGTAAAATTCCAAATACACTAGATTCAACATATTTTTGG